GACTGATCGTAGCTGCGTATGTTTCAATGCTCAGACTTCGTCTGACCTGTAAAGCCCTTCACGGGTATCAAAAAGATATCTGTGCAACAGCGGAAAATAGACTGTAACAAATAAAGGTCTTACCATTGTGGCGTAAAAACAAGATGACGGCAAGCAAATTACAGAGAGGCTTCATTTTCACCACTTTTCCCTTAAGAAAATTAATCCGGATTCAGATTCATAAAAGTGCTCTGTTTGTTCTTCTGCTTTAGTGGCGATGTGAATTTATTGCTAGTTCAAGTGAAAGTGACATCGGAGCCTCCCTATGGAAGGTAGAGCGATGAAGTAGTGAACGTTTTTATGCTCATGCAAAGCCATCAGCAGAGTCCAGAGAAAAAAGACAGAGCATCATCTTTTGTCCCATTAGCACCTGCTGGTACATGTTTTGACTGTATTAGGCATGGCATGGCAATAGAAATGTCACTCCACAAACACACACACACATAATCAATCAATCAAGCAAGCAAAAAATACAAACAAACAAATAAATAAATAAATAAATAGGGGGAAAACTATATAAAAGAAATACAAATAAAATAATGAAAATAATTATACAAATGCAAAAATATAAATATAGAAATACAAATACATAAAATAAAAACAAATAATAATAATAATAAAAAATGCCAAACAAACAAAAAGTGTCACAGGTCCCAGTAAATGACAGAGAGGTTCTTGTTGGACATTTGGTCCAAATAAATTTAAAAAAAGCTTGTATCCCATGAGAGGACTCCAATGAAAAGCTGTAGAACTACTTGAACTCATATCTATCATCACTTGGAGAGGAATCAAGTTGGCTTTGAGTACCGTTATGAAGGAGTGGAATCCTGGAGCCATTGTGGCCTTCATAACAAAAAAAATAAATAAATAAATAAATACATTTTGTTGCAGTATGGTAACATTTTAGTCACAGATATTTATTTATTTGTTTGTTTGTGCATGTATGTGTCACGAATGCGGTCTATGAACTTCCATTCACTCACCACCAGAGGTCACCCGCTCACTACATGGACTCTCACACTACACAGACTGTTACAT